ATGTTCAGGAGACAGACGCCTCTTTGTTTATTTGGAAGTAAACACATATCTAGTACCGCAATAAAGGAAACTCAATTCTCAACTAGCTCTAGTACCTCTATATTACTTACGCAGCAAGTTAACCATTTTAATTAAACACTGTTCTTGTTTGTTGTCTAAAACAGGAACAATATAAAAGGCTCCCCAGAAATGAATGGATTTGGCCAATTAGACACTTTCCCCGGAGCATTGGCAGGTTCTCCAAACATTAAAGTGATACAGATGTGCGCTTCTGCTAACCGCAGGCCAATCACAGTGTCATCAGCACTACAAGGTCAAACACTGAAAGCAGAGAGTATTTTCAAACTGGGCTCATCAATCAATTAATCAATTTATCTTAGCATAGCGCATTTTCACAACAGTACACTGTTTCAAAGCGCTTTACCTTGTCTCTGTCCAAAAAACTGAAAACAGATTATTCATGCACCCTGTGTTTAGATTATTAGGAATAAAAAGCAGCCACATACAGGCAGCACCAGTGGCCAGTAGTAATGGAGGGTTGTGGGTTCAAGTCCCATCTGGGGAGGAAGCTTTTCAGGGCCAATGTGCTTACGATCAGGAAAATTGCCAGTTCAAATCCCAGACCCAGCAGAGCGATTTCACTGCTAGTCCCCTGAACAAGGCCCTAAATGTGCCGTCACTCCAGCGACTGTCTGACGCTGCTTTCTCAATTGTACGTAGCTTCGGATAAAAGCTGCTGATAAATAAAACGTAGCGTGACACCAGAGGTACCTTCAAAGGGCTGGTCGTTCACTCAGGGCCCTTCACAGGATGTGTGGTGCGCAGGGGGCTGAAATAGCTTCATGCTCCGACACGCCACAGCTGAGCCGGTGCCAGCTACGTTTCAGAAAGTGCCTACATGCTAACAGCTACTTCCAGCTCCACCTGATAACTTCACAGCCCGTATCTGTGAGCACTCAGAGGTATCAAACTGAAGGGCTGGGGGGGCTGAACTCACTCTCTTCAGTCCAGATCTCAGAAGAAATTGAAGAAATGGGATTTCTAACAATAACACATTACAGCATATGTGACTGTACTCTAAATTGTTTTAGGATATATCTTGTTGTACCCATCAGTAAAAATAACTATATGAACATCTATATAAATCAATTTTGAATGATCCAAACTAAAAATAAAACTCAAAAGCAAGTTAAGCACTAATTGCAACAGTGAAATCTAGCAGGTTTATAAGGACTATGTAGAGCTCAACGTAATGGAACTACGTATAACTTTTAAAGATGTGAACCACAAGCTGAATCAGACTGACATCCCCAGCATAATACATTTTCACCAAGGATTACACATCAAATCAATTACACAGGCTGTTCAAAAGCGTGTCTTGAATGCAACAGAATGGCACCTATTACTTAAAAGTACATAATTCCACGGTTATAGTTTCACAGTAATTTGCTTACTTAATTGCTCATTTCATGTCGTTAACTACACAAAGAGAAATAGACAGACTATCATGTTTTTTACCATAACGAACATTACATGCTTATTTATTTCTCTGTCTGACTTGACAGGTGGCTGAAAGGCGGATGAATATTATATCCAAAGTATTTTTTAAATCACAGTTCAGTTATCGGGGGGATTGATTTCCCATCCATACATAGAGGCAAGATCATGTGTCATGAGTCTGTGTGTCAGCGCGTCAATTAAAAAGAACACACATTCATTTTAAAACGTTATTTCAACACACCTCATATACTGGTGTGTTATATGAAATGAGGCCCTTCAAAGAGGAGGAACACTGCAGATAAGGAGCAGTGGTTCTCTAGGTTTACTGCGGTGTGCATCCTGTGAGAGGATACGAGATTACCCCTATGCTGGTCCTGAGAATACTTCTTTATAAGGTTTCCAACTGCAAAAGAACTCTGTATCTACCCCTATGGGGCAAATGGCTGGCACAGTCAATGCCCGCGTCATCCGTTACCTTCAAACACAGTGCTCACCTAAAAGGTTCAAAACAGACCGGTCTCTGCAGGTGATCTGAGCTTCCGTCGTCATCTGGCAGATGGTGTCTTTCAGACAGGCTGTAATAGAGACAGATTTCCCGTTAAAAGAAAAGATACAAGTGTCTATATACTTAAAGGCATTTTTCGACTTTTTGTTTTGGTTTTTTTTTTGTTGCCATCAAACAGGGCTAAATCTCTGTGCCTGTGATTGGAAGGTCGTCAGTTTGATCCTGGCTTTGGAAGAAAGATCACATCTGAGGACCCATAAGCGAGGCCCTTAACCCCCAACTCCATGGGCACTACTGCTGAGGGCTGCCCCTTACTGCCAAGCTTGCGCTCACCTACAATCAATAAATGGACAAAAGTATTGGGACACCAGGTCATTACACCTAGGGGAATATTAATGACGTCCCATTATAAATCCATAGGCATCAATATGGAGCTGGTCCCCCTTTGCCGCTATAACACCTGCACTCCGCTAGGAAGGCTTTCCACAACATTTTGAGGGTATCCGTGGGAATTTTTGTCCATTTATCCAGAAGAGCAACTGGCTTAAAATCTCCATTCTAGTTCATCCCAAAGCCGTTTGATGGGGTTGAGGTCAGGGCTCTGTGCAGGCCAGTCAAGGTCTTCCACACCAACCATGTCTTTATGGACCTTGCTTTGTGCACTGGGGCAGAGTCATGCTGGGACAGAAAAGGACCTTCCCCAAACTGTCCACAGAAAATTGGAAGCAGAGAATTGTCCAAAATGTCTTAAAATGCAGAGGAAATACGTTTTTGTCTGAATATTTAGCAAATCAAGGAAATCTGTAAAATACTGGGATAAGATCGATAATAATTAGTAAAAGATGACTGTGGTCCTCGAAGTCGCATTCACAGTTTACAACACTGGTGTATCAAATAGCCGGTGTACGTCTATTAAACTGTAACCAGCTTCATTTTAAGATTCAGAGCGTCATCTAGCGGGGACCACAGAAAATTGCCTACTGAGAATTTAAAAACCTATTACGAAACGGCTTTTGTAATGCCGTGTTGAATGGATGGATGTTTAAGTTTAATGGATTTTAATAAAAATGTTTAAATATTGCATGAATCATTACAAAACAATTACTGAAGTCATTTTCTAAAAGTCAACACACAGTGCCAAACGAATAGCCTATTTATCTTTATATTAGGCTTATTTACTTGCGGGTTACTTAAGCTACTGCATAAAGAAAACGCGTGGAAATCGTCGTAATTATTACCGCCAGGGTTGTTTAACACAAATGCGATCAATTGCGCTGTTACTCTCCAAAACACTAAGAACTACAAAATCCGTTTAATCGCAATAGTAATTGTAAGACAGAGGCCCGTAAATATTTTTTCTTAATGAATGATGGGCAGATCTAGTCAGCGGATAACTTGAAAACACACAGTAGCCTACAAATGGTAAACTTGTTTGTTCAGCTGCAGTTAAACCTGCTCGCTATGAGAGAGCTTGGCTTTGGGTATTGATAATGGCTCTTTTTTTGGGGCAGAGCTGAATGGGCCACGTACCGTGCACAATCCTGTCTTACCATTCACTTCCCAGAACTGCTCTGGGTAAGAAGGAAAAAAAAAAGTTATTGATTGGGCTGACAGCAGCTATATTTAAAGCGCAGGTGATCTGACGCATATTCCACATCTGTGAGTTAAGGATAGCACGGGGGCGAATTTTGTATGTTTAACGCGGTCTTTCGGCATGACGTTCGGTGTCTATATCCTTGCTAACATAGTAAATGTTTTATTCGCTGCTGGAGCTTGGTGTTTCCCGCTACGCGACTCGGGACCTCAGTATGACAATGGCTGGGGGCAGCCTATCCGTCTCAGGCATTTGTACGCTGCGAGGCGTGGACTGCATTTGCAAATCAACCCCGATGGCAAAGTGGATGGGTCTGTTCTCCAAAGCGCTAATAGTGAGTACATTTAACTGAAGTCGAGGGGGCGGAAGGGGCTGAGCGCAGCTAAGGAGACTCATTACACTAGTGATGGAGACTGTGGCCAAAAATGAACTTAACGGACTACAAAGCATTTTGTTATGCATTAAAGTTATTTGGCGCGATGAAAAAACGGGCCACACTTAATTGTATATCAGTTTATAATGAAGCTTATTTTTATTCAGGCCTGTGCCTGAATAAAAATAAATTGTTGTTAGTAAAATGATCAGTCAATGAAAGTATACATTTTACTGAAGCACCATTTATAATTGCAAAGTATATGAATTAAAAGCATTGCATGCAATGGAAATTCAACTTTAGCTGATTTAAAATGAGTGTACATGCATTTCCCAGTAGTTTGTACTCTTTAAAAAAAATCTGAAAGTAGTTTTTCACAATTTTCTTTTTAGGTTTAATGGAAGTTGTACCTGTTGATACAGGATTTGTTGTTATCAAAGGTGTAGTGACTTCCCACTACCTTTGCATGGATCAAAGTGGAAAGTTGTATGGATCGGTAAGTTAGAAAAAGATCGTTCAATGTTAACTCATCCTTGTGGAATCACACCTGTTTGCCTTTTACAGTTATAGGACTTAATTCATTCTTGACAGAACTACACAAACAGAAAAGCTGATTGCACGAATCCTGTATTTATCCTGAACTAGGTACATCTGAGACATATAAGATATCTGTCTTTAAGAGCCGGGTTTGTAACACAATTGTGAGTGCAGATGGTCAGTAAAGGAAAGAAGCCAGGAGTTTTGATTAGCCCACTTCCGATGTTCTGCCAGGTTCGCCACTGGTCAGAAGTCCGTTCATCCTCTGCCTGAGCCAAGACTAACAGTCCACATGTGAGATCCGAATTTACTTTTAATGGCTGGGGGAAGTGTACGCAGAAATGTCAACAAAACAGACACCTGTGTCAACTATTTGCAGACTGATACCTAATGCTTTGGGGCCAGGATTATGTAGCATTAAGCACTTCTGCATTGTGTACCTTTTCAAATATAACACAATCAAGATTCAAAAAAAGGGAATTACCTTAATTTTATTTATTCACTAATGATTTTTCTTTTTGGTGGGGGGGGGGGCATGCTGTTTAAATTAATGAGCTATTCTGAAGAATTACATTCTGTTAAATATCTTAGCTATTTGTAGATGTTTTAAAAAATCTACGGCAAACACAAAAGGTTCCGCCTGTATTTCCCGCTGCCCTCCGTTATATGCAGCCTACATTGTTGAAAAAAGTAAATTCTTTGACCTGTGAAATTTTTCATTGGCTGAGCTGATCCTTGGGTAAATTATTCACATTATTATAGGGAGAAACACCCCAGCACAGTAATTAGAACATTTCAGAGCAACCTTTGCCCCGCACTGGGGCATGTTTGCCCAGCTAGAATCTCAATGGATGGAAACAGTAGCAACAACCCTGGTGGCCTCCGGGGGGGGGGGGGGGGGGGTATTCTGTTCATTGTGCAAACAGTATTCGAAGAACTTTACGCAGTCTGTACGCTTCAAAGATGCCTGTGCTTCAACTCTTCATGTCAGTGAAGTTCCACGCAGTTGTTTCTCATGATATCTCAGTCTTTCTCTCTCTCTGTCATCCTTGGTAGTCCACCTACGTCAAAGACAGCTGCTCCTTTGAGGAGCGAGTTCTTCCCAATGGATACAACATCTACATCTCAGACAAACATGGCATGGCAGTGACCCTGTGCAGCAGCTCGCAGAGGCGCCAGGACCAAGAACGGCTCCCGTCCTCACTGTCTCACTTCCTGCCAATGGTGAGCACTCTGTCACTGGACCCAGTGAACATTCAGCAGGCAGAACCTGAGGAATCTGTCAACACAGAGCAGGGTCCACTGGACAGCATGGACCCTTTTGGAAAACCGTCCTGGGTCTTCATGCATAGTCCCAGCTTTCAGTGACCGTTGCGTTTGTTGATGTTCGTCATCCGTCTTGAGCAGAGCAGGGAATTGTAGAATGGATCTGGAATTGCAATATGATAGGAGATAAAGTGCCGAACTCTCCTGAAGAATCCCATGCTCAAATCCCATAATGGGCCACTCCAGTTCAGGAAGAGTACTGGCATTTAGAAATGGGGGCATTTTGAAAGGTTTTTTTTTTTTTTTTTAAAAAAGAATTTTGTTTTGATTATTAAGAGAAATTTTTGATGTATTTAAACATTTTATTTTTGCTGCAACTCTTCCAGGGAATTATTTTTTGTATTTAAAATTGTACATAATAATACTAATAATAATAATATCACCTTTGTGTATAGATATGTAAATATAAATGCATTAAAGTTTTTTTTTGTAAAAAGAAAATTGATATTTAAATACGGTAATTAGTCATTTTTATAAACATTGACATATTTAAAAACTTGTCTTCTGTTCTTAGCAAGACATTCATAGTAAAATGAAATTAAATGAAAATTTACCTTTAAAGGATGACAGATATTGCACGTGACGTTAGGCATCACATTATCAATATAACCATGTCTTATCGCAGAATGCATTTCAGAAAATATTCATCAATAAGATACTCTCGTAATGTATTACCATTCCATGTAGCGAGTTAAACCAAATCCCTGACACTTATTTAAATTGTGGATTATAGATGTCTATGCAATTTGTCGATCAGTAATTATTCCATAGTAATTAGTCAGTTTTAATTAGTTCGATCTGTCTTTGGGAAACCATGCAATGGACAGTCCATCTAATACTTCCATCTTGTGGCCAAAAGAAAGAACTGTGAGGTTAACATACGTGTGAGGTCCCTCTGCTGGTAGTATTTATAACTGTACCGCTAATGTATCACAGACACTCAATGCAAGACAAAGGAAACGATTCAAACAGTGATAAAAGTAACATTTTTATAGAACTTTGCACGAACTGAACTAAAACGTTAGTTCAGAACTCGCACGTTTGCATTAATACATTATTAATCTATTTTTATTCCATTTTTATTTCAGTCAGCAAAAAATAATTTACAGTTTCATAATATTAATCATGAGTGGCACAGGGTCTCAGGGGGATGCTTGCCACCTCGCACATCTAGGCTGAAGGGTCTCACTCCCAGCCCTGCTCTCAGTCTACGGGTCTTAAGGGTTTCCTCAGAGTTACCGGAATGTTCCGCCCAAAGACCAAAGATGTACTCCGATTAATGTTATCACTAAATTGTCCATCCGACCGTCTGTCCGCCCATCCATCCATCTATCTATCTATCTATCTATCTATCTATCTATCTATCTATCATCTATCTATCTATCTATCTATCTATCTATCATCTATCTATCTATCTATCTATCATCTATCTATCTATCTATCTATCTATCTATCTATCTATCTATCTATCTATTTTATTCTGGGGTATCAGAATAAAAGTAGGCAATCTGTCTCTCTCTCTCTCCCTGCCACACTAAACCCATATTCCAC